ATATATGTGTGTGTGTGTGTGTGTGTGTATATGTGTGTGTGTATGTCAGATTTATAAATGAGAAATACATTCTTAAAATTCCTTTGTTTATGTTAGGATATGAAACTGAGCCAACATGTAAATTTCGAGAATCGGGTAAAATCTGCGATTAACACCATTATTAGAGCGTTGCTTGTCCATAGGTCCCTCTATAGTCGTGAATTCATAGCACGTCAGATCTAATGACTATTTCCCGTAGAGGAACATAAGTTCGAATCCTGTCGAAGATTTGTTTAATAAGATTTCTCATGATCCCGGCCACAAAAAAAGAGATAAATAATAAATATATTTATGTATATATGTATATTTATATGTATGTATATATGTATGCATTTTGTTCGAATCTCACTGTGTTCGATTTGTCAGGAACGAGACTTGCTGATGTTATCGGACTGGAGAGGTCGATCGCAGCGAGCGGCACCTTTGAAAAGTGCCTGAAAACCATACCGCGGGTATGGTCCAAGCTTTGTTAGTGAAATTGGAACACTTAGGGGCCATCGATAGCTGTGCTAGCACGAAGTTTCAACTCATTGTTACAGAGGGTTTGAGTCTGCTGGCCTTGTTCAGATTGTTGATCACGCTAGATAACACGCTCTCTCCCAGAAACTCTAATTAAGGTCTGCCCAGCATAGTTGCAGTATAAACCACAGGTGAACTCTGTGGGTGTTGAATAAACACAAATGCGCCTGAGCAAGCGTCTGCAATAGGGATTGACTAGCCTCCCTAGTAGACGGGTATACACGAATACGAGAGGCTAGATATTATGTGCGGTCGGATATATATACGTATGCTTGTCTCGTCATATCGACAGGAAAAGCATTTAATATTTGATCTTGGGTTTAGTAAAACTGCCATTATCATGTAAATTAATTCACTATATTTGGTAATGGCAACACTCTCTTCAAAACTGATCTAGATTCTCCGTCGCTATGGATGAACTACAACCTTCCAGTCATATAGCATTGTTTCTTGATTCCTCTCGAACTCTTACTATTTTAATCTGACAAGGGAAAGCCGACGTAGACGAAGTCATGTACGCCTCACTTCATGGAGACACTTAAGTAATCAGGAGAAAATCCAAGTCATTACAAGTGACAGGCCAAAGTATAGATAAACATTCTCCGAGGGCCATTTAATGTATAAATGTTGTTGAAAGGAACACTATAACATCCCACTGTTTTTATTCGTCTACTAATATCAAGCGTTATCTCATATAAAGCAAAAAGTCAATATACATCACAAGAACAACTGTATAATAAGATCAGGAGGATTTGGTTAAAATAATATTTGACTTAAGCAGCAAAATACGTGCGTATTTAGGTAAGTATAACTTTCCAACTTGATAAACCTGTAGATATTTTAGATCTATTTGCACTGTTATTTATGCAACGGTATATTTGTGTTTATTTACAAACAGCGATATGTACATACAAATATTTTTTAGGGGTTATTATATTCGTGAGTTCCGCCAGTCATTACTTATTTCACCGTTATGAATTATGAAGCAACCATCTTAGGTAGATAAAGATTGAATGAAAGCAAACTGAAAAGGTAGTTTAAAATGAAGTGGGAAAACTGCATCGAATCAATAGTTGAATCTACTGCAACTATTTTGACGTACTTTTTCCCTGCTGCTTCGACTACATGAATTTAAAAGTGCTACTAGATTGGTACCTTTTACTGTGGAAATAGTTAAATATAACATCCATTTCTACACCAACAGTTTCTTCCCACCTTTGGAACTCCCTTCCGTTTCCTTGCTTCCCTGATAAATAAAATCTTCAAAGATTCAGATGCAACGTCAATCGCAATGTTATATCATCTTGCATCCCGTTCATCTTTTATCATCTCCTAAATGCCAGTCTTTTCTGTCACTTTAACTCCCTGAAACGCATTGCGTTCTAGTGGCATTGCCGCGTTGTTTAGGGTGAAATTATTAAAACAAAATAAAACTCTTCTATCCAGCAGAGTGTCGCTTATATCGTATTTCTCTCACGTTCTCCTCGGATCTGACGTAGAACAACTACATTAAATAAATAGCTTCATCTACCACAAGGAAAGTTAGTTCTCTGTGTTGCATCAGATGATTTCAAATCTACAAATAAACCATTCTTCCTTGCATTGAATACTGTTGCCATATATGGTCTGGCAACCCCGCTGTTCATATCGAGGTCCTAGACGAATCTAGAGACGGATATGCTATGTGATAGGTTCTGATCTGGCATCTCATCTACTTTCCCTTTCTCACAGACATGCTGTGGCTTCCCTCTGTCTTTTCTACAAATATTTTCATGACAACTGCTCTGACTAGTTACTTTCACTGGTACCCAAACTGCGTGAATTTAAGCGTGCTACTAGGTTGACATCTTAGTCCTACAATTTCACTGTCGAAACAATCTGGAATGTAACCGCCTCTTCTACTCCAATAGGATGTTCTCTCGCACGTTCCGACAGTAGAACTCCCTTCCTCTCACTTTCTTCCCTGATAGCTATAATCTTCAAATATTCAAATATCAGTCGACATCTTCTTTATATCAATTCCTCAAGCAACAATCTTTACTCTTGTTCTCATTCTCATGTAAGAATAACCCCATGCGTCCTAGTGGCACTCTCGCCTAGCTTTGGCGGGGAAGGCTTAAAAATTCTAAATTTACTGTTGTGGATTCCAGTTTGAAATCCGGTACCAATAAATAACAAACGCCAGGAATGAATATATGAAAATAATGTATTTACGTAATAATACAAACTGGTAAAGCAGGTTAGTAGTTCCAGGAATACGGGTTAGTAGCAAAATATCTATAGTCTTTGGTATTGAAATATCACTGTATGACTTCTTACTGAGTCTACGTGCTCGCTCACTGTGGCTCCTAAAGCGCTGTTACCTCACCCTCACTTTTCCGGTTACCTACAACCTTTTACTCTGTCACTCTCCACTCGACTCTTCGGTCTAGCTCTGTCTTACTCTCGTCTCGCTCTTGCAGTAGTATATATATATATATATATATATATATATATATATATATATATATATATATCTAGGTTTCATTTGTATAAAAAGGGGTGGACCCCTCAACTTTCACAGAATATTATAACTTTAAAAAGCAAAATGTTCGCTATCGCTGACTGTACGAATTCGAAAGAGATATTATTAATACAGAGGCATTTCAAAATATTGTATATCAATGAATACGGAAGCTTTAAACGATCGTACATGTCGACTTTTTCACGAAAGTTTTAAAAATTGGTGAGTGTGACATATCTGACCAGTCTCGCTATGGAAGACCAACCACTCTAATAAAATGTATAACCTTGAAAGAGATCATTGAATTTGATCCAGAGAAAAGGCCGTAGGCTTTGGCGCAAAAACTTAGCAACACATCATCAGCGTTCCAAGAATATTTCAACCAACTTGAGAAAAATAAAAAGAGGGACTTTAGTTCCTCATGAACTATTACTTGAGAAAGTTACCAATATTCGACCATCTGCAGCAGTATTTTAACCATAGACCGTCAGACAAGTCAGACAAGTTGGAAGACATATTCACAAAAAGAGCAAATGAATATATTATGGACATGTCATAAAAGAAAACACTTTTCTAGTGTCATCCTACAAGTTATCGTTTATTCAAAGAAGAGGCAGGCAGATGTCAAAAAATGAGCTGACAACTTCGGTGACAGAACAGATTATTTACAGATAATCACACGTTGGCACACAACCAATGCAGTTGTCGGAGAGAGGATGATGATGTTGATGATGTAGAAACTAATATTTCTCGAATGTGCAGACCGATAGACGTAACACACATTGTTCAATAAATAAAATGGGTCATCTATTTCAAATACAAATGATCGAGTAACATAATGTTTGAATTATATATATATATATATATATATATATATATATATATATATATATATGTGTGTGTGTGTGTGTGTGTGTGTGTGTGTGCATTAAAATGTCTGGCCACTCGTATCAGAGGATGCGCATCTACTCTACTGCAACTATGCTTAGCGGACCGGATAATATATATATATATATATATATATATATATATATATATATATTATTATTATTATTATTATTATTATTATTATTATTATATACTAGCATTAAAGCCCGGCGTTGCTCGGGGTTTTATGTAGTTAAATAGCTTTGGGGTTTGAATTATTGAACTTACACACATATCCGCAGTTGTTGAGGTCGTCGATAGGCCGTGAATCTCACTGGTAGCAAAATCAATGAGATCAAGGGCAACCGATGGTAATAGGTGGCTGCTGTGTTGCTGCTCCATGCTTACCCAAAGACTGCCACCCGTTCATAATCGGTCAAGATTTTTAATTCTGGCAATGTAAAATAGTGGGTGCGTTTTCACCGTAGGACTCACCCCTTCACTATTGTCTATAAGTTTTCCCAGTTTTAAGCGGAATACGCGGCCGTTAATGTCATGTCTGTGAGTGTAATCCTGTCCGGGTAGGAGTTCACGCGTTATCTCAACCCATTTGGGGTTGCAGGTAAACGTTATAAATAAGTCTGGCCGCCCATATTGCCTAACGTATGTCATAGCGTCCTGCGTGCGTTCATGCATGTAACGCCCCCCCCCAGTGTAGGTATTGAGTAGAATGCACAGCTTCCCTAGGTCGCGGGGAGTGAATTCATTTCGTAGGCTGTCACGTAAGTGTACGTAGGAGTCTGAGCGCAGCTGTTTCTGATGACTCCGTATAAAATAAAACCTCTCCGATTCGATCATAGCGGCCATGTCAACCGCAAACTGGTGGAAAAGCTCCCTGCATCTATGGAGCAGGCTGAATTCTCCATCCTTAACCATGAAACGTTATGAGTAGAAGACCTTGCACGATAAGGCCTTGGAAGACGTTGTAAGTTGTCCACTTAGAGTATGAAGGGGAATGCCGAAATGGTAGCCATCGTCACCATAAGGGAAAAGTAAAGGGTATTGCAATGCGTCATATGATCGATGGGTCTCCGAAATCCTGCAAAGAGCGCCGCCTCTTGATTTGAGGACAATATCGCGAGTGCGGTCTTGCTCCCCATGTATAATAGCGGCCACTTCGTTCGTGTTCATCATGAGGCCGGTTGTCGGCGTCAATTACAATGCTGAAGGAAGGAAAGGGAGCATTTTCCAAAGCATATTTGAAACTGCGAATGTAGCTGTTAACCTCGTGGTCTGAAGTAGTAGTATGACGTCCCTGCGAGGAACTCTTCCCGACGGCGGCAAAATACCGATCCGGATTTCGGCCTGTAGGTTGTAGTCTGCAATAAAATTACAGTTGAAGGTATTTAGGCGTAGAGGCCTCCTCATGCGGCAGAGACTCAGTGCGGTGGTATACCTGCCCCTGTACTCTGAAAGTGGGCATTCAAGCCACTTGTCGAACCATCTCAGCCCCAAATGAGGTCATTTAAAGAAGTTGTTGAATTGCCGAATTGTTTTAAGGAAGTGGTTTGAGTCGGGATGGGAGCCGGCTATTAGTCCCCTCAACGGGGTAGGTGGTTCATGCAGAGGTGGCAGTCGAACTTTGCCGGAGGAGCAGCACAGACCGGCATACTCCCCGACCCATTTGCGGGCGTTGCAGAATTGGCAAACGCAGGACATGGACCCTACATTGATGTTGTCACGCGTAGTTAAGTTAATGCCGGGGTCGAACAGACCTAAATAGCCGTGTCTCAGAAGCCCTACCGCTCGCAGCTGCAGCAGCTTCCCTGGATTGACGGGCTCGTTTGCGGTCGAATGTTTCAGCTGCCCTCGACCTGGAAGTGGTGGCAGCATTCGTAGCATTTCGAACAGACCTACGGAGAGTTGTCTAGAGCAGCCCTGACGCTCGCTGTCACAGCAGCGTCCCTGGATTGACGGGCGCGCCTGTGGTCAAGTGTCTCCATTGCCCTTGATTTTGCAGTGGCAGCAGCGTTTGTTACGTTAAGAAGAAGCCTCTGATGATGAGTCTCGGAAGCCCGAGATGCTGAGGCGTGTGCTGCAGCCTGTGCATTCATTCTCGACCGTTGGGTATTCTTGAACCTTGATCGCAACGAAGCTCTGTAGGCAGCTTTCCCAGCCAAGCAGGTAGCACGCTCCTCTTCTGACTGCGACGCCTGCGCGAGGGCGCTGCATTGAGCGACCTGTGATAGTCGCATTGTAGTCTGCTCCTGGGACTCGCGGGCCCTTCTTGCCCTCATAGCGGACGCTCTTGCAGACTGAAGGCTAAGACGTACGCTCGTTTTTGGCGGCATGGGGAAAAGTGATGCTAGCAGTAGTTGATTAAGGTTGTTCAGTTGCAGGAGTACAAAGTCTAACTTAGTATCGCAAAGCGGAAAACAAAAACGTAAGAAACAACTTGCGGTAAGAAACTTATCAGTTGAAGGAGGCCTTATTGTATCAACCGGGTGGCGGCGTAGCAGGAGCAGAAGTGAGACCTTCGTCCCACAGCTGTGCCCAGCAGGTTCAAATGCGAAGTATTACTGGCCAATCGGTTGTGCCAATCAGCGAGCGTCCTAGGGTCTCGAACACCAATCAGCGACCACGTACTGCACTCAGCCAATGAGATACCGCTATGTGAAGGATGGTCACACGTGTCTGAATAACAGTCAGCTGTAGAGTCTGTAGTGTAGACGTCTCAGTTGAACATACGTTTGATTGGTGTATTCGCAAATTCCGATGAAGATATGATTGTATCGACTTTCCTTAGGTATTAGTTGGTCACGAAGGAGCTCACAGGGCAGAAGTTTTTTTTTTAATTTCACGACTAAAGCCGATAAAGATAAATAAAATCCAAAGCAAGTTGCGAAAAACTTCGCCAAATTCAGGTAATCTCGATTTGAATCGGAACTCAAAAGAGGTATAATTTCATCGATTTTTATCCGATAATTGAAACCGATATTGAAAATTAATGTCAGAACCTCATAACTGTTGATAAAAATAATGCTCAACGTCATTTTGGTGGAAATTCTTCGCCATTTGCGAAAAATATAGCCAAAAATCAGTTTGACTGGATTTGAATTGAAAGTCAAAAGTGGCATGATATTATCGATTTTTCTGGTGATTGATAGCGATATTGAAGCAAAAGGTCAGCAACTAATAACTGTTGATGAAACTAAGACTAAACATGAATTTTGTGAAAATTCCTTGCGAAAAACAAAAATCAGCTACATTGGATTTGATGTCCCAAAGTGATCGATTTTATCAATTTTTAAAAACAAAGAACAGCACCTCAACACTATAAGTAAGGAGATTGCTCAATGTGTGTTTGGTGGATATCACTTGTAATTTGTGAAAACTATCACTGAAAAAACTGATGAATTTGTTTCGAATCAATCTTCGACCCCTTATCGGCTTTATCAATTTTTTTTCCATAATCGGAGGAACAAACGAAAAATCCGAAGACGTCACGTACAAAAACCGTAAATTTCAGATGTGTTTGTGAATTTTCATGCTAATGGGATGAACGGTTTGCTCAGGATGAGGTAACAAGTTGATAAACACAAAGACACACTAACAGAATGCTATTTATAGATATAGATTATATGCGCGGTACTTATTAGAAAGCGCACAATATCAAAGATAGAGCTAACATATTTGGTTGCATTGATGTGAGTTTGTGACCTTGGGTTTCAAAAGCGTGAAACTCAGAGTCACAAAATCATATTAATACACTCAATCTCGAAGAGTTCAAATGTCACATATATATATATATATATATATATATATATATATATATATATATATGACATTTGAACTCTTTGAGAGTGCGAGAAATACGAATATAGTAGTCTGCAACACGAATTGCTTAGACGCCCCATCAGACTGGTCTGCAGATAAACGTGAAGGTTGTCGTTATATATATGTATATATATATATATATATGCATATGCGTGTGGGGTGCCTTTACTAATTTCTTAATGCATCCAAATAAGTCTATTATAATAGTATCCGGTCTGTTCAGTTCGTCTTCTTTCAAGTGGCCAACTAGCAGATTGACCTCACATCCTTTGGAAAGGCGCCCAAATTAACGCTTAGCCTTCAGACAGTTTGTTATGTCCCAGATAAATCAGTCAGTGTCTTGAGTTGGCCATTTATTAAATTTACTACCGTTCTCTGTTATCTTTGTCTTACATTCTATCGACGTTGCGGTCGGCCTAATGGATTATCAAATACTAATTCATCTTAGGTTTGGAATTTTGCCTGGGAAGCGCGCTAGAGAAATGAGCTTTCTTGTACCTGATTGGCTATACAAATAGCCTCGTTCTACACCTTGAGACAGATGAAAATATTTATTAAGCTGAAGATGGATTTGTGTAAGGCTTTAACTTGCTTAAAATGTAGGAAGAATATATAAATCACAGCGTACTTCACATTTAATTCTACCTTTCTCCCATCTCTTTTTCATCTGTCCGCTTCTTTGCACTGCTTATTTTCGTCTGAGTGTCTACCTGTATCCAGATCTTTATTCATATCCATTATTCTTTAGACATTTAACTACAATCGATAACTAGCTATCTCTGACAACCTGCATTTTCCCCAGTAATTATCAATAATGCAATCTCAACAAATCCCAACTTTTAGACGTCTATTTTCTTTCAAGTTCATTACAGTCCCTTTCTCGCAGAAGCAACGTCGAAAGCCATTCGCTAATTCATTTCTACATCAAATATGGTAAATATCCAGACGTGTTCCACTCTTTAGTTCTACAAGACTTTTACAGTGATGTCACGCCTTGCTTTTTCTGCGGTGTCAAATCCTTCTAATTTCCTCTATATTTTAATTGTAAGGAGGAAGTTCATCTTTGTTTTTTCTAAGAAATCCTACTTTTTCGAACAGACTTCCTTGTCGATACTACCCTGAACACTGCCATCTTAACTGCTTCATTTCAAAGCTCAACCTTTATCTCTCGTCCATATTCTTTCAGGTACCTATCTGACACTGGTACATTTATGCCACCCAGCTCATTTAGTAAGTCTCTACATTGATTAACACTCGAACATTGTACTGGGCGAACTTTTATGAAATATTTATATACTATTGCATACAAATGTGGTCCATTTTAAGAAACCAAGTTGCATTAATAAATAAGAGGCTTGTTTGTTGATTGATGGAAGTTGCGAATTAGCGTGGCATGATTATAGTATATGAGTGAGTAAAAGCGAAGAGAGAAAAACAGCCAATTCATATATATATATATATATATATATATATATATATATATATATATATATGAGAGTACACAATGAATATTCGATAGGAACGTGATTTCTTTCATTCACTCTCTCTCTCTCTCTCTCGCTCTCTCTCTCTCGCTCTCTCTCGCTCTCTCCCTCTCTTTAGTGCTTGTTGACTGAGTGGGTTTCAACTTAAATTGAGTGCCTATAATCTGTGTCCGAGTACAAGCGATTTGTCAGTTGTGTATTGACATTTCATCATAAGCAAGTGGAATACGAATTTTCAGTGTACATTCAGGTTCAGAAATAATCTATCTATCTATTTCAATTTACTCATGTTTATCTATCTAGCTCATTTTTTATGTTTATCTATCTGTCTATCTATTTCAATTTATTCGTGTTTATCAAACTATCTAGCTCAATTTATAATTATATATCTATTTCAATTTACATATGTTTATGTATTTCAATTTAATTATATTTATCTATTTATCTGTCTATTTCAATTTACACATGTTTGTCTATCTAGCTCATTCTACTTATGTTTATCTATCTATCTATCTATCTATCTATCTATCTATCTATATATTTTTATATATATATTTATATATCTATCTAATTTACTCATGTTTATCTATCTATATATCTATGTCATTTTACTTATGTTTATCTATCTATCTATCTATCTATCTATTTCACTTTATTTATGTTTATCTATCTATCAATCAATCTATCTATCTATTTCACTTTAATCATGTTTATCTATCTATCTATTTTACTTTACTCATGTTTATCTATCTATCTATCTATCTATCTATCTATCTATCTATCTATCTATCTATCTATTTCACTTTACTCATGTTTATCTATCTACCTATCTATCTATTTCACTTTACTCATGTTTATCTATCTATCTATCTATCTATCTATCTATCTATCTATCTATCTATCTAACTATCTATTTCACTTTACTCATGTTTATCTATCTATCTATCTATCTATTTCACTTCACTCATGTTTATCTATCTATCTATATATCTATCTATTTCATTTTACTCGTGTTTATCTATCTATCTATTTCACATTACTCATATTTATCTATCTATCTATTTCACTTTACTCATGTTTATCTATCTATCTATCTATCTATCTATCTATCTATCTATCTATTTCACTTTACTCATGTTTATCTATCTATCTATCTATTTCAATTTATTCGTGTTTATCAATCTATCTAGCTCAACGTATGTTTATCTATTTCAATTTACATATGTTTATCTATCTCAATTTATTAATGTTTATCTATCTATCTATTTATTTCAATTTACTTATATTTATCTATTTATCTGACTATTTCAAATTACTTATGTTTATCCATCAATTTCAGTTTACTTATGTTTATTTATTTGTTTACTTGTGTTTATCTATCGATTTCAGTTTATTTATGTCTATCTACTTCAATTTATTTATCTTTACCTTTCTGTTTCAGTATATTCATGTTTATCTATCTATATGTTCTAGTATACTTATCCTTATCAATCTGTCTATTTCAGCTTGCTTTCATTTATCTATGTATCTATTTCAGTTTACTTATATTTATCTGTCTATATATTTATCTAGTTATGCTTACTTATTTTATCCTTCTATCTATTTATTTAGTTGAGTCTGTCGACTTCAGTGAATATTTTCGAATAGTGACATATTCACTATTCTTCTTTGAAGCTTGTGGACTGGCGATACAGGGTCACAAATAAAGAACTTTCCCAAATAACAGAAACCACATCACTTCAAGACTTTCGAAAGCGACTTCAACTAAAATGGACAGCACAGGTAACTCGAACATAAAATAATGACGTAGTTGAGATGTTGAATTTCCACTTTAGTTCAAACAAAATGATAGGAAGGAAACCTATATCAAGATTGGAAAATTATTCCGGAAAGTTTGTTTAAATAGAACGCCGAAAGATTCCAACCTATAATAGCACTGGTTATTCGGTCATTGAACGGCCAATACTTTGATTACCACTAATAAAAAATGTCATGCTGCCCCCCTCCCATAGGACAATTATATCTTACTTCAAACTGTTGCAAGATATACCAAGAGTCCAGCTGAAATACTTATTGCTTACTAATCCGACAGGCAATTGATAAGGTAAAGACATTTGTGATGTCGATTTTTTTCGATCCAATATGATCTGATGTACTCATGTCTCACACTTCTCGCCTGTGGAACTTCCTCCCCATTTCTTGCTTTCCTGATAACTATAATCTCCATCTATTCAAATGTAACGTCAATCGATATCCCGATCTATCCCCTAACCGTCTCTTCATCCTTTCCTCTATCACTCCTCTTAGTTTTCGCTCCTACTCGGAAAATCTTTGCGTGCTAGTGGCTTCCCGCCTTGCTTGGAGTTGAATGTTTTATTTAAAAAAAAAAAAATGAAATTGTTCAAAAAATTCAGCAAAACTGAACGATACTGTGATTGGCAAGATTTCCCTAAAAATGAAATCTGGCCAGTCTTACAGAACTCCGATTTTAAAATATTGGCGATCAGGGATGTCCTAAATTTCATCTACTTTGTAGCTCTTAGTAAATTTTGTCTATTTTTCTTTAGCTCTTCTAAACATTTTTTTTTTTGCCTTTCATTTACACAATCTCGCTAGCTAGGTTATATCTGTTTTTTTTTTTGTCCATCTTGTCTTCAACATGTCCGGCGAATGTAAAATTTTTCAAATTATGTGCCTTAGAAATTTGAAATGTCTTTTTCTGATGTATCCTTCTCTTAAACATTTAAGCCCTGCGTTCCTGAACAATTTTAACTCTTCCGCCTAAGCACTTGAGTCAAAATTCCCAAATAATTACTATGTAATGTTTCACAGTAGATATTAAAACAATTACAAATGTTTACCCACCGTTCAAGCGGTGGCTGGACATTACGTCTTTTTTTCTCTACCACCGGTAAAGCATTGGCCAGAGCTCAAAATATCAAAAACGAACAATCATTACGACATCAAATACCCGTAAAAAATGGTTTACCCCCTAATTATCTCCATGCACACAGGATTGCTCTATTAGGGAATGATGCTCCAGCTTTTCAAAAGAGCAAAATAGTGAAGCTGAGCTTAGTGGGGGAAGGGAGTTGCCTTGAAGATTACCTGAAGCCAGGACGTCCTGATACTGCCAACAGCGAGGAAAAAATATAAACTTCATCTTATGGGGATGCATGACAAACGATTGACTATAAATCAAATAGTCAATACTCTTAACATATCACGTAACAGAGTTGGGAACATACCACACAATGAACTTATTATGATAATGGTTTCTGCTCGGTGTCTTCAACGTCTTCTGACAGCTGGTCAAAAGCGTACAGCCGGACCACATCACGGAAAAATCTGACATTGTTTGAGACGGAACCAGCTGGTTTTCTTGGACATATTCTAACCGAAGTTTAGTGTTGGGTTATTCCTTTTCAGACAGAGACAATTAGACAATTCATGCAGTGTAAAAACCCTTCTCACCTACCTCAAATCCACAAGGTAATTTCATCTGCAGGGAAGATGATGGCCTCAGTTTTTTTGGATGCAAAAGGTATTGTTTTTACCTATCTTCAAACGGTATTGTTTTTACCTATCTTCAAACGGTATTGTTTTTACCTATCTTTCACCAGGAGAATGCTCTTGCAAGTCTTTGGTTTACATGGTTGCTGAGCGTGACTGTGGATTTGAACTTATTGATCACCCTCCGTATTTATCAGATTTTGGCTACTCTGACTATCCTCTGTTCCCCAACATGAAAAAATAAAACAAAAAAAAAAAAACAAAAAAAAAAACCAAAAAAAAACACTTGTCTGGAAACAAGTATCTTCGGGATGATGATGTCATATCTGCTTTTGTTGACTTTTTTGGTCAACAGAATGAAAGGTTCTTGACAAATGGAATTTGAACACTGCAACACGGATGGAAGAATTGTGTGGACCGCATGAGGGTCTATGTTGAATATTAAACCTTATTTAATCAAATGAGAATATTTTGGTCAGCCTATGAACTTTTCAATCGACCAAGGTACATATATTATTTTAATTATTGTAATTCATCAATATATCAATTTATTTCATTTTCACAAGTTTTAGCTTTATTTTCTTTACACACTTTTATTTTTATTTTTCCATCATTATCTTCCTGAATTGCCTGTAATTTCTCCCCATTGAATATTCCCTTACTCTTTCAGACTTCATCATTCGCTATTATCTTTCCGCCATTTTTTTCATTCATTCTTCCCATTTCAATCCACGCGTTCTTTGATTTCGTTTTTTTCTCGAAGGGGTTCCGTGAGTCGTCCTTTTATTCCTTGTAATGGTTGCCTCCTTTATTATACTCACTTTTCGTTAACAGTTTATAATTTTGATTTGCCTCAAAGGATTACGAAAACAATTAAAGTGAAATGGATTGAGAATTACGAAGAAACCTGATCTAAGTTTCGTATTTCCTACGTAATATAGGAAATGGAAAAATCAATTTCATTGATCAAATCGATATTTCCGAAATTCAATTCCATTGCTTTTCATATAGTGTAGTTTTCACTCACAGTCTTTGGTGGGACAATGATTTCTTGAAATAAAAAAAAAAAAAAAAAAAAAAAATTAAGCATGCACCGGTATTGCCGCTAATGACCAACCCCTGAGGCTTATACCGAGACACCATAGTACTTTTAATACCGAGACACCATAGTACTTTTAATACAGAGACAACATAGTACTTTTAATACCGAGACACCATAGTACTTTTAATACAAAGACACCATATTACTTTTAATACCGAGACAAAATATTACTTTTAATATCGATTCACCGTATTGTATTTAATACAGAGACAACATATTACATTTAATACCGAGACAACATATTATTTTTAATACCGAGTCACCATATTACATTTAATTCCGATATACCTGATTACATTTAATACAAAAAGGCCATAGCACTTTTTATAACGAAATGCTATATTACATTTAATAACGGGAAAGAATATTACATTTAATACCGAAACACCATATTATTTTAATACCGGTACACCATATCACTTTAATTTAATTTTTAACGCCTTTATCATACATTTTTATAGATTATTTGTCAAGAAAAATTAATGACAATTTGGAAAATTATTTTGTGTAACGCATTTCGTCCGTTAGGGTTTCATCACATTAAAAGGTTTGATGATCATGTGCGCGCACCAAGGAATGGGGACACTGAAACGTTAAACGTTAAAATGTTATTTTTACAAATATGTGTTTGTTTATATAAACTAACCAGGCTTTTTTTTTAGTTTTGTTTTGTTTAAAAAATTTTGTTTAAAATTCTGTCATTTTTGTTATTAATTATTCAACATTGTGATAATAGAAGAACTGCCAAGAAAGGTGTAATGGTTTAAGAACGTGGACGCTAATTCACTGTGGAGAATCAAGCGATCAAATTACTTACTCTTTCGTTTGATTAAATTTTCTCTCTTTTAATGAAAGTTAATTGATCGTCAGACGCATTATTAATTTTCTAACATTTTTATAATATATATATATATATATATATATATATATATATATATATATATATATATATATATGTATATATATATATAATTTTTCATTTCTTGTTAAATGCAAATTTAAACGTAGATTTTCCTTATCTTCGTGGTTACACATTGCCCATGTGATTTGAGCATCATTCATTTAAATCCTACACACTTTGACTTCTGAAAAGATTGCATAATAGCCCAACTTTCATCATAAATTTTACTGCAAAATATTTATTCAGGCCGACACAACTTATCGTTCCAGGAAGTGTAAGATGCATTGTGTTGTGAATTAAGATAAAACAAAAAATATGCATTGTTGTCATATAAGAAATGAAACTACTAAGTCTCACTTTCCAGCCCTGATAAGTTTCGAAATATTTTATGCAGTCTTGTAGGGGAAAACATTCTCTACAATCCAGCATTTTTCTTTACATAGCAAGCCTATTTCTACTATATCCGTTTTTCCAAGGCAAATATTCAGACGATGTGTTGCCATTGGTTATATTTGAAACATTTAAAGATAGGCCATGTCCCTCTACTTACAAGGAGTCGAAACACCATAATTTACCCTGTGATCGAAGCGTAAGAAAGTGACACTCTGTAATTTTTCTTTCAAGAATTGCCACTTTGTGAAAGAGAGCATCGTGTAGGAATTCCCATAGGAAGAATTCCCTGCAGAATATTATCTTAGTTAATAATTAATATTAATCGCTTCACCTTCTCTTCATAATCTTCACGACATTCTAACTACTCTTTCTTTTACATGAGAAACCTAATTCTTTCTTACTACAGAGTGCGTTGGATAAATTGTCGTCTAAATTAGACAAAAAATAAAACAACACTGACACCTTATTTTAACAGGTATATTTACCAAAATTACACAAAAATATATTCATATAATCAAGAGTAAATTTATTCAATAAAATCGCCATTGGCACCAACCACGACCTCTAGGCGGGTTCAGAATCACCTGGAACTATTATGGAGGGTCTATTTGTTTAAGTTGGTGAATACTTCCATAATCCTTGGTTTCAGTTCATCTTTGATGTTACATGTAGTTTTTTACGCCCAGCTGCGCCCCACACGTAATAATCAGAGGCGGGATTGCAGTCTGAGGACTTAAGTCACCAGATGTAAGGAGTGATGTGGTCGTAGTAATTACCTGACAGCCATGACAGGATTTTCCTACTTGTGTCACATAGTGCAGAGTCCTTTTGCTAGACATTGTGTCTACCAGCATCCACCATCTGGAGCAGGACAGTGCTAACTTCTCAAGGCACTTGATGTAGGTCTTCCGGCTGAGTCTCACCAACAAATTCGGGAGTTTTTTTTTTTCTTATCTGAACGATCACAGTTACTTTTCCGAGCTGCCGTACCTCTGTAACCACCAGGAGACTCATTCAACTCTTTCCGAGTCGTCTGCACTCATCTCAGATTGACACTGAAACACTCTGAAATGTTCGTACTGGAGTTTCCGGTGCGAATGCCAAGCAGTACAGCATGCCATTTCCAAATTTCTGACACAGTGAATTGTATCATCGTATTTTTTTCTTAAAGACGATGTCCAACTTACCCTTCTATACTGCGCAGTCGACATTTCAAAAACAACGAGCATGCGCGAAATTTAATTATGAAATTTATACATCGCACCCTGTAATTTAACAATAACCTTTTACTTCTCGAGAGTAGCTCTTGAAACGTGTTTTTTTTAATGTTAGTGTTAAAAATTTTGGTAGCTAATCGAATATTCTTAATAACTATTCTTAATAACTATTAAGCTGTAATAAACACAACCGAATTAAATGCAAAAGGAAATAATACGAATTAGAGTGATATTTAAATTTGAGCATTAGATTTTCGTGACAGTTTATTTTCAATCAATTTTTTTAATCTATTCGCTCCAAACAAGTTGATAATGCCACTAAGATGCAAGAATCTATTAGGAGTAAAACAAAATAAAAGTTCCTTAGAAAAAACCGGAAACCCGATCCTAAACAGCGATGTAGAGTGATAAACATTTATTTCTGTCTAAGAGGCCGGGAATAGTGTGAACCAGACGATAGCTAAACCAATTGTAAATAGATGGGAAAAATTAGTAAATTAAATTTCAGGGTTCAGACGGAGACATTAGAAGTATAGAGTTATAGTAGATATTAGAAGGAGACGTTAGCAGTAGAAGTGAGTGCGTTTTCCATGTATAATGCGAACTAATACGTTACACATGAAATATAAGTATGATCCAATAAAATTACTTTTTCTGTAAATAATTATTCAAAACAATCTTGAGAAACGGACTAGGCGTTTATACAGAACGGGAATATTTTGGTAAGAAATGTTACATAACAGCAGATTTAATCATTTGAATTATCAGAATGGAGAAAACATTTCCAGAATCGTAGGTCATATTCTCTTCTTCGCATAGAAGCATAACCCCAATAACAATTTTTCGTAGATGAAACCTTGAAATTTTAAAATTTTATTCTAAATTGGTTATTCCAGGAGAAAAAAAAAAGAACAATTTAGATTCACTTGTTTGAGATGATCAGACGCTTGGAATTTGTGATCAAAAGAAAAATACATATAGAGCAGTTTCACTTTCCAAAATTAAAATCTTTCGGTGCATTGCATTTGTAACATTAACACCAGTAGCTAGAGGTAAATCAGTTAAATCCCACATCTGATCACGGTAGCATTGCTGCCTGCACTAACTTTTCCAGAAATTCGCAGTGAATGCCATAAAAAAGCAAAAAAAAAAAATTTTTACTTATTAAATGTACTTTTTTGTCTGAGATGTATACTGCGCTTGTGATAGTCACAATTTTTTCCACCCGTAATAAATCTATTTTTCATGAACATGAAATATTTCAACTAGATGGTTTTTCAAACAATTCAAAATGGCTTTCAAACTTTATAGCTTTTCTAAAATTTACAAATTACCGGATTCCAATAAGTGATGTCACAGGCGAAAAGATGGAGAAGAAAGATGGACAAATTTAAATAGAATTTACTGGTTTAAAATTTCTTTAAATTTCGAAATTATTTCATATGATATCCTTTAAAAAATAGTTTCGCAACTGTAAGTAAAGTTAAAATATAACCAGCGTTGTGAGGAAGGATTCAATCAAATGCATTATTGCTATTGTCCCATTCTATCAAACAGACTCATGGCTTAACATTGATCATTCAAAGTCGAATGTTTCCAGGAATATAATATATTTCAAGACTTTCAGTTCTACTTCACCGTTTTCCAAAGAAATCATAGCAATTATTCATAGGGATTTAGTAAGGATAGCTTAGATGGAGCTCTCAATGAGGATCGAACTCACTACACAACCGTCATTGTTTCAGAGAGACAAGCTTGCTAACGGTTACTGCATGTCGAAGTGACAGATGACAATGACTTTTATAATAAATGAGTTAATACTTAATGGTGATTTTCCAAATCTATCTTAGATGTAGCTCAAGGCCAATGTAGCACACAGTGAGGTACGAACTTACTATTCAGTTGTAATTAATCTAGAATAGTCAGTTCGATCATCATTGAGTGTACTATACTTTCTGCCTTAGCTTCATCTTAGCTACGCCTAGGTAATCACCAGATAACTAATCTTTAATAATGACACCGAATCTGAACAACTGAGAGGAAGAATATCTACGAATGGATATTGAAACTTTCCCCACATGACGAAAAGCGAATTTTAAAAATTCTTTTATTTGAGAATGGTTCGGGCAAAGAGATAGCAAGAACTCTCTTCTTATAGCAGCCATCGCCCAGCGTATAACTGTGAAACGGAACTTCAAATAAAGCTTTTAAAAATATCCCTCATTGCACAAAGACTCAGTAATAAAATATAGCGGACTTGTTTTAGTGCGAATTTTGCTCGTAGCACTTAGAGAGAAA